CAAGTTTTTAATAGTTAAGCCCTGTTAAATAAGTGAAAGGAATCAAAAGGCCTTTTACTTATAAATTGAAGCTCATTTTTAAAGGACTGCTCTCTTCATTCAAAGAGATATTGTTCACTGTTGTTGATTTTACTGACAAAATGTTCAACTTGTGTTTCTTTCTTCTTTTTTTGGTGTCTGAAATTAATGAAACTAAATTTGAGAGCCAAAATGCATTGGTTTATATTAAGTTCCTCAAAAAATTATGACTCACTTGGGAGAGATATTAAGCAAATTGTTGGTGATCTGATATGTAAATAACGTAAAATCTCAGGTTTTGGGGTTCTGAAGCATAGGGGTTCAGAAAGTGTCTTTATAGCATCCATCAGTAGGAACTCCATTCCCACAGTTCATTCAGGATATGGGGAGGGAACAGGCTGTAGTTACTGGTTGCGAGTATTTGTGCTTCTTAGGAATCAACAAGGTATATTTTAATCACAACCAGTTCTCATTCTTGCACACCAACATGGATTGGAGGAAAAGGGAAAGGAAGCAGAACAGATAGATAAACCAGCAAGATTTTAATATAATAAAATAAAGTTTGCAAAATACCAATTTATGATCTTTATCCTTGAACTCCTAATGACATACCCGAAGTAAAATAATTTAAAATGAAGGAGATGATAAAAAAGGCTTTGATGGTCTCAAATTTTTAGGATTTTATTCTAATTCAAGTGTTGTACTCCTTCAGGAGTATGAGTAATTAATAATTGATTTTCCTCAAGTTTATGTCTAGCTGATATAAAATTAACTGTTCTGTGCTAGACAGTACAGCTAATCACCAGAAAATAGTTTCATTAGAATAAAGGTTACATCAGAACCTGCTCTGCTTACTCAAAATTTTGGAAGCACAAAAAGAACTGGTTATGAGGTACCTCTTCAGCATTCTTATCCACTTTTTTTTATGGCCTACATGTAATCAATAGCCTCCTTGATAGTGTGTCGTAATCCTTTGATTTCCATCTGCAGTAGACAGCAAAAAGCAGCATGCATCCCAACTTCAGTTTAAGAAAATAACATTTTGCATTTTGGTATACGTTTCAGGCAGGACTCAAAGTATTGCAGGTGTTAGACTGTGCTGCTGCCAATGTTGACAAAATATCAGTGAAAAAAATCATCCGTCCTTACTACTTGCATATTTTAGTGATTCTCATACTTTGAGCTAGTGTCATCTGTTGTGTGCCTGCTGACTGCAGTGGAAGGTTTTGAAAGCTTGAGGGGAGGTGGGAGGATGCGGCTGAAATCAAAGATTTGCGTATCTCAGCAGGTGTGTCTATTAAGGGTAGCACAGAGAGAAATGTACTATAAAACACATTAAATTATAATTTTAGTTTGTGTGGCTGTTACAAGATGAAGTCATCTTATGCAACTTAGTTCCTCCGTTTTAATAAATCTGATCTATTGATAACAGTTTTGATGATCTGTATCTAGAGTTACAGTTGTTCCTCCCTCTATCTGCATCACCTCTGTATTTTAGATCTGTATAATTTGAGCTGCAGAGTTAGTAAAATGAGCTATAGAAATTGTCATTTAGTGATGATGTGATGTATGTTTCCCCAGTGGCAGACATAACTGTTGAATAGCTTCTTGTCTCATGTGAGAGATGAAATACTCTAGTCCTTTTCCTGACTGAGAAGAGTGTGATTTTAGTGCTGAGACTGAGGGTGGCCTGAAAGACTTTTGTTACTTAACTTCCAAAGAAGGTTTGAAACTACTGTGTTAGGAAGTACGGAGTTTTGTTTTCTGACTCAGATTAGATCGTATCACCGTGAGCTGTTACAACTTTATTTGTAAAATTGCTGTGTTTCATTGCAGCTGTGAGGAAAAAGACAAAAAACTGTCTGCAACCATAATTTATTTGAAACTTCCTTTCTGTTACTTGGCATGTGGAAGCAATGTTGTCTGCTTAATTGATGAGGGCACCTCTCATAAGTTTTTTAAAGTTACCTGAAATTGGAAAATGCAAGCCTTTATTGTGCTGCTGTTGCCATGGAATGTATTCACCTAATGTATTGCCGTAACATACACTATGTTGAGGCTATCTGTGGCTTGAATATGAGAGAGCTAGTTTTGAAAAAGTTGGAAATCTGAGGCTTGTAAGTAGCTGAATCTTCAGGTTATGTTTAAAAATCTTTCAATTTTGATTTGAAACTTTAAATTGGTGTATTTTTTTAATAGAATGACTTCATTGTGGACATCACTGAATTCTTGTCTTCAGTGCTTTACAGCACCTTTAATTTACTTAAGTGTCTTTGGCATTCCTCATTCTAAGTAGAGAAGGCTCTGTTAAAACCATAGCTAAGTTTCAATATGGCCACAAAGGTTGAGACTGTACAGATGTTTCTCGTACCCTGTCTGTTACAGAACTGAATAAAATGCTTAATTCTTTTGTCCCAGACTTAATATGCAGGAAGCAAATCGCTCAAGTCAGAGTTCTAAAATGTTAATACATAATGGAAAGAAAACAGTAAGTCATGGTTACGAGAGAGAAAGGTAGGAGTGATCACAAGTCTGATCCCTCTTGGCGCTGCAGCTCGTATGCTCCTTTTTGATTTATGATTCCTTCAACTATCTCTTCTTGGCTGCTCAAAGTATGTACACATGTTCAGGTGGATGGGCAAGCTCTCCAGCCCAGACTTGAGGAAACCAGGAAATCTAGAAGTAGCTTCATCAACAGCAAGAAATATTTATATTCATAGAGTTTATGTGAATGAACAGAGGTCAGAGGTCTACCTATAAACAAGGATATGGTCTTGTCAGGTGTCTCTACACTCTAGTTATCTACCATTCTGTATCAGATTATGTTAAAAGCATTATTTAATGTCTTCAGAAAGGCTTTGTGTGGGGAAAAAACAAACAGAATGAAAAGGAGGATCATTTTAATGAAAGCTAAACTCTATTTAGTTTCTAGTAATTTATGGCAATTGTAAATGAAGACAAGTATTGCCAATGGTATTCCAAGGCTGTGGGCTAGTTTTTGAAATGTTTTTAAATTACCGTAAGTTAAAGCTGTTTATACTATTTTAAAGCAATTTTACTTTGACAGATGCTAAAAGAGTAAGCAGAGACTTGAGATAAGAAGGTGACACTGGTCTGTGTAAAATGGGACTTCTTAATAAAATATTACTTTCTGAAATGCGGGGGAAGGATTCTAAGTCAATAGCTGTAGTCCTTCAGATGCCAGATGAAGTCAGTTGAGCCTTTTGCATTTACAGATTTAAATGGTTTTCTATGTATTAGAGTCTTAACTGAACATCTTAAAAATATCTCTGGTAACTGTTGGTAAAAGACCAGATACTGAGTAATAGTGGGGTGTGGATTCAGAGAAAATAGCCACCAGTATGGGGGATTTCGTTGTATGTTAGGACCAAGGAAAGAGGAAAAAAAATATGTTTTCTCGTGTAGTTAGTTCTGTTTGAGCGCATCAGCATAATTCATATGCATATAGTTGTGCTAATAACTATTTTCCTTGTTTGTGAATATTTAGATTGTGATTCATTGACTGGTTTTGGTATTCATGTTCTGTGTCAGAAATGATCCTATTTCAAGAAATCTCTGCAAGTATGTTGTTTAAAGAGTACAAAAATTGGATTTTAGCTATGGGAGTACAGATTTGGTAGTGTGATGAGTGACATTGTTTGAATCATGTGGTATGTAAAGGAGTACCAAAAGCCAGTTATAAAGATTTGTAAGCGCCCTCAGAGGGACATTTCTCCCTTTTCAGGGAACCTTTTACTTTGAGAATGGTGTTGCTTTGCAATATTGTTGCTCAGAAACCTGTAAACCAACTTTCAGTTCACTGGTTGGATGGAAGAATTTGTCTTTTAAGCTGTATGTAAGCATTTATTTCACTCAGTGGGTGAATGTTCACTCAATAGATGAACTTCTGAACAAAGGCTCTTTCCATCCTCAAATTTTCCCTTACATCTTTTTGAGAAGACTTTAGAATGGATTTCTTTACAACTATCATGTCAGTCATTAAACAAGTAGCAGTAAAAAAGGATTGATTTGCCACAACTATTGCAGTCTTGAAACAATCCTATTCTGTTTTCATAACCTATTAATTTCTCATGTTTGAAAGCTTGACTTAGTGTAATTAACTGATTGCATTGTTTGCTGTTGGCATTGGATGGAAGATTCCATATTTTAAGTCAAGGCACCAAGAGTTTATATCATCTACTAAAAGAAGCTTCCAAAAATGCATATTGGAGGTGATGGTTTTTAAAAGGTTGCATTGTTCTAACTCTTTGTTTTGGCAACTGCCATCTCAATTTTGAAAAATAACTAGCTTTTTACTAGTTGAGTGCAATACTGACATCCGTCTGAATTAATTTTAATAAATCTTTTTATAGTAACTTCTGGGGGGGATTCTTTAAGTGTCTTAGATGTGAGAAAATTACAAGCTTTTGTGGAATTTCTAAGTATTATAATGGAGGTTGTTTATATCCAGTGATGTCAAATAAGCTCAAAATAAGCCTAGTTTGTTTAAAACAAACAAATAAAACCAAACAGTATGTCCCAAACAGCATGACTTAACAATTCTGTTACTGTTGAACTCTAGCTTAGGACTGAAAGCAAGAATGTATTTCTTGTCTCTATTTCCCTCCCCAACCCCCATTTGGATTATGCATCAAAATGAAGTCCACTTAAAATTTAATAATAATGTCAGTATATTACACAAGATTTCTACGAGTATAGCCTTTCTAAAGTGGCAGGGTAAGTGAATATGTCTTTAATATAAGAAAATACAAAACTCATTTGGTGTTCTTTACACTCGTCTGTACTTAAAATGATTAATTTTACATTTAATGGGCAGCAAGGATGAGAGGTATAAGCTTCTGTATAAATATTACACTTGAATGTTGGAATCTAAGCTTTCTTTAGAAATAACGGAATTGTAGCTCAATGCATAAAAAGAGAATGGGTTATTTATTGCTGCTTTCTGTGTTTCTATGTTTCAGGGGTCCATTCAGCGTTGTGCGGCGATGTATCAACAGGGAAACAGGGCAACAATTTGCTGTAAAGATTGTCGATGTAGCAAAATTCACTTCAAGTCCTGGATTAAGCACAGAAGGTAAGAAAAACAATTAAGCAAATTCTAAGCAGACAGGTTTTTTGATTTGTCAGCCTTTCTTGTGTTTGCTTGCTTTGTAAGATCCTTTCTGTTTTATATTTTGTAGAAGTTTCAAAGCAAGGTCTTATATCTCACATTTAACTTGATTTAACTTAGTGCATACATTTCTAGTCTTTAGTAATTTCTACAGCTATTCAGTTGTGATAATACATATTAGAAAGAACAGTAGGTCTATACTGTATTTCTGTTTGGATATTTTAATTTTTTTTTAAGAAAGTAAATTTCTTAAAAATATTCAGAATCAAAAAAACATGCAAAGGAAGTAAAGTAAGAACACATCAGTTTTATTTTGCTAGTCTAGATTTAGCGGGTAAATTGCTATAAAATGGGTGAAAACTTGCAATTAAAGTGTGTGAAATTATATAAGAACTGTATACATTTTTCATACAGCTAGGATTTTAAAACAATGCTGCAGAACTGCTACAGTGTAAATAAAAGTCTGTAACTCAGCATTTCCTATTTTAGGGTAAAACAGTACGTCTCCTCTGAGTTGAATATGCAACTCGTGTGTGCATAAAGTGCTTCTTTTACACTATACGGAAATGAGCATGGTAACTGAATGACAATCTGTGTTTTCCATGTCTAGTGTATTTTTGCTCGAGACCATATTCTTTTCTACAATAATGTTTTTTGGGGATTCCATTTGTGCCATCTAAGTCCTTATGAACCCAAGTTCAGCAGCAAAAAAGAGTCAATCACTTTTTTTGGTATTTATAACAAACAGTACTAAGCCTTAATGGGAAGTTTGATTGACAAGGTAAATCTCAGGTCTTGCTTCAGACTTTATCGAAGATTTTCATTTAAATCTGCTAAAGCCATTGCTAGTTTCTTTTTCCTAGCCCTCCAACAAAATATAAGACACGCTTTCTGCAATACTCAGCTCATATAGCCTCATTGTGGTTTTAGCAGTTTATACCTAAACCATCACATTTTGAGCTAGTGTGTTTTTACTCAAATGACTTGGTATCTTTTAAAGAAGTTCTGTCTGTATTCTGGTCTTTTTCTGAGCCTTATCCTAACTAATGATGCTAGGACATATTTCTACCTTTAGTGGAGTATTGTTTTCCTCACTCCATGACAGTAAAATTCAACCTTTTGTGGCCATGGAGAACTTGCTGAAAGGGAGAAATAGTAGACAAAGGAGCAAGGGGGACTCATCAGGAGGAAAAGAAAAGCCAACAGGAATTATAGGTTCACTTAAAAAAAATGAAAGGTAGCTGTTGATGGTTTGCATTTGCTACCTGAGTCTAAAGAAAAGGCTTGGGAGTATACTAAGAAATTTTGGGGGTTTGATTCCACTTGAGTTATGTTGATATATTTACAATTCAAGCTGGCAGGTCATTGAGTTAACATATCATAAACACTTTCTGGAGTTAGTGGGTTTTTTGGTTTTGTTTTGTGGCTTTGGTTGTGGGTGGGTTCAGGTTTTTTTTGTTCTTTGTTGGTATTGGGTTTGGGTTCTTTTCAAAGTTTTTAATTCCTATGCATTAGATTCATAATATTAAGACACATAAGCTGTATAAGTGAATGTGGAGCAAGTCCTATATTCTACATAGGAATCTGAGCCTGTTTTTCATGAACTGTTTGCAACTTGTGTACTTTTTATTTTGTTTTTCCTCTGTGTTTTTTTGTGTTTGGTTTGGTTTTGGGTTTTTTGTGGAGCTCTTTTCTATCTAGGTTTTAGGTTTGTGGGGTTTTTTTTCAAAGATTTTATTTTTCTTTTTTAATTTGTTTGGCTTACTTCTGATAGCGCCAGTCCTTAAACAGATTCTTGGGGAGCCATGATGGTGGTACTTGCATAAAATAAATGTTAGATAACTTATGTGGGAGGAAGCTGTATTTGTAAATTGTCTTAAACTGTAAGCTGGAACGGAATGGTAAGATTAATCCTTAGGAATGTTCTTTACCTCCAAGTTTTGCCCTGTGCAAGAACATTATGGTCTTGAAGTTTATCTTTGTACAACTTTCTATGTCCAGTCTTTCTCTGAGGCACAGGAGTAGGAGAACAGGACATTCTGCACATGAGGGCGCTCATGACAATTCCTTCCATTAATTTCATAGACAGGTAGAGTGCTGAGAGGTAAAGGGCCCGATATGCCTTCACACTGATGATTAAATGACCTTTGTCAGCAGTGTACTCTTCTGGCAAAGGCAGCCAACTGTTGCAAAAGTGTAGCCAGCAAGTCAAGGGAAGCAATTATTTTCTATCTTCATCTGTGTGAGACCACATCTGGAGCACTGTGTGCAGTCTTGATTTCCCCAGTATAAGGAAAATGGTGTACTGGCATGAGTCACCGGACTGAGTCGTCACATGGACTGAGGGAACTGGGTTTGTCTAGCCTTAAGAAGAGAAGCTAAGGTGAGATTTAGTCCTGTCTTCAGCTACTTAGAAGAAGGGTATAGAGCAGACAGAGCCAAACTCTTCATATAGGTGCTCAGTGAAAAGAAAAGAGGCCATGCGGACAAGTTGCAACATGGAAAATTCCAGTTAGAGACAAGAAAAAAAAATCACCCTGTGAGTGGTAGAACTTTGCCACAGGTTGCACAGAGAGATAGTGGAGAGCATCCTCAGAGATGCTCAGAACTGGGCTGCACGAGGCCCTGAGCTGCCGGATCTACTTCAACCTGCTTTGAGCAAGAGTTTGGAGTGGATGACTTCCAGAGGTTCTTCCCAACCTACATGGTTCTGTGATTCTGCGATATTATGTATGAACAGTCTACATGTAATCTGTGGTGCAATATAGTTTTAATATTATTTAGGAGGGAAAAATTTGGGCCTAAGAGTGCGCTGCTTAAAAAGTAGTTAAATTAAAACAGGATTTGATACAATGTTCCAATTTTAAAGCCAATTGAAAACTTTTGATACAATGTTTTACTTTAACCCTGGGTTTGATACAATGTTTTGATTTCTTCAACTCATGAGGCAGTTGGTCATGGAATATGCTTTAAAAGGACTGTTCAGTAGTCTAAACAATTAAAAAAAATGTTATACTGATTTCTTACAATAATAACGCCCTCCTTACCACAGTAACAAAAGCAATCAAGCTTGAAAAATTGATACTACTCTAGGCTAATCTGTGTTTATCAAGTGGTACTATCATGAACATTTGTGGTATATGATAGAGAAGCCGCTAGTATGCAAGGCAAACTGTATCTAGTATAGCATTCTTTCTATAAGGCTCCTCAACACACGTACTGTGTATAGACATGGACATCTCAAGTGATTTTTATGTCTGTGTGCATCTCTGCAGTGGTTTGATAATAAGGGGAAAAAAAATAAATGCCATGTAACGATGCCTGACAGCTAACAAATCTAATTTAGGCTAAGTTCTATTGGATTTAAGTATTAGTATTCATGGTCTTGCATACTGTGTGTCATCAGTCTCTGTAATGTTGTAATTCAACCATATTGGTGAAGTATATTGACACTTTGTCCAAGTGGCCACGTGATCTACTGGATTAATATTGGCTATTTTACATGATGACAGATTCTACTACAGTTCACTATGCTTTCGTATCGCAAAGATACAAAACATTAAAAATATACCTAAGAGAAGCTTGAATATTTTTAGATGTAAAAGAGACTTGTACAGTTCAATTTAGAGGATTCATGTGGAAGAGTACTTGATGCTCTCAGAAGCTAGTTTACTCATCGACGTCTACTAAAAATATCAGTGTAAATAACTTGTTTTCAAATACAGCTCTTAGTTGCTATACTCAGACCTTTTGGTATAGAAAAGTGTAAAAAGCATGTTTGTTATTTCTGAATTTGTTGCAGCTCATACCATACTTTTTACTGTCCATTTATTCTGCTGCATTTTCCTTTTATTTTTCTCTGCATGGCTTGCATATCTTGCTATTAGTTAGCTGTTCTAACACCAAATATCTGTAAGTGTAAGCCCTGTTTCTCAGGAAGAAAATGGTGATCGGTTCCTTACTACTTAGTAAAAGCCAATATACATTATTTGTGTGCCTTATCTTAATGTCAGATTGCTCTCTTGTAACATGCTGAGTATTTTTTAAAGCAATTTTCAGGGCAGTGCCCTGTCCTTGCAGTGCATGTCTCTTTGAAGTTGGTTTTCAAGATTTAATTCATTGTATGTTAGATTCAGTTATCTGTAATTCATTTTGATAGAAATGTCCTCACAAAGAAGTGATTACCATTACTTCTACAACCTTCTAGTAGACTAGACCTTATTTATTAGGCTTATATATGCATCTGTACAGGTTTGTATGCATGCAAGCCACTGTGTAGCTGAATAGACAAGCTGATAAGGAAAGATTCGGGTTTCCTTTAGAACCCAAACCAGTTCTACTGGAAGCGAGCTGTGAAGACAGTCTCTGTAAAATTGTAGCCAAGAAAGAAGAGGTTTTTAATATAACTCTTGGACTACTTTTAGCACTGAGAGGGGCAAGATAATTGAACCAAACTGGTATTGCTGTGGATCATCCATTTTAGGAGAAGAATTCCAAAATGATTTCATTGGGGGAAGAAAATGTGAAAGTTGACATCAGCTTGGGTTTTTTGTCCAAAGGGCCCCACAGATCTTTCCCCTTACATATTTTCAGGTTGCGAGGGATTGTCTTACATTTGAGATCTTACTCTTGTTCTGCTTATTTCCTTAAATAGTTTATCCTGGTTGGGTTTCTTTAACTTTTTTTTTTTTTTTTTTTTTACATAGACTTGCATTTTTTGAATCACTTTGTCAGTGCAGTTCATTTGAAAATGTCAGTGTTGAGCTCAAGTCTTTGAGTAAAAAATATTACAAATCTTTATGTCATCAAATCTTATGATACTATACCATATGTAGGCTGGATTTGAAGAAAGAGTGAGTGACTCTTTGCCTTTGATTTAGAAACACCAACTTATCTAGAATTTCTGGTAGTTGTCAGTTCTTTGTTGTACCATATTTCACAGATCAAGGGAAGTTACTTCCTTC